TTTCGTTTCTAATACGTTACTTATTAAGCGCACGAACACGGTAATGTGACGGTAATTCATATATTGTTTACGTTTAAATTTTACTCAAAATACAGTAAATACAGCAAATACAGTAAATACAGCAGTGACAGAAGATGTGTCGCCACAAAAATACAAACGAATAAGATTAATTGAGTCTGATTCAGACTAAATGTTGTTGACGTCTAGATTTTGAACTTTGAGTGACATTTCGTTTCTAATACGTTACTTATTAAGCGCACGAACACGGTAATGTGACGGTAATTCATATATTGTTTACGTTTAAATTTTACTCAAAATACAGTAAATACAGCAAATACAGTAAATACAGCAGTGACAGAAGATGTGTCGCCACAAAAATACAAACGAATAAGATTAATTGAGTCTGATTCAGACTAAATGTTGTTGACGTCTAGATTTTGAACTTTGAGTGACATTTCGTTTCTAATACGTTACTTATTAAGCGCACGAACACGGTAATGTGACGGTAATTCATATATTGTTTACGTTTAAATTTTACTCAAAATACAGTAAATACAGCAAATACAGTAAATACAGCAGTGACAGAAGATGTGTCGCCACAAAAATACAAACGAATAAGATTAATTGAGTCTGATTCAGACTAAATGTTGTTGACGTCTAGATTTTGAACTTTGAGTGACATTTCGTTTCTAATACGTTACTTATTAAGCGCACGAACACGGTAATGTGACGGTAATTCATATATTGTTTACGTTTAAATTTTACTCAAAATACAGTAATTGTTTATCAAGTTTTTGAGCTTTGTAACATTGCAATGACAATTTCATTGAATAATTACGATTTTAAAGCGAAATAATTCAGTTGTTGTAGCTATTGTTGTACTTTTTTATGCATATTATATATGTTTGAAACGTTTGGTGAATTGTGTCTATCGTTCAGCACTTAAATTTTACTCTAATATATAATAACTCATATAATAAACAAATTACTTCATGGTTGATTCGCTTGTACGATTTTTATTATGCACTCGTTGCGAAAAATTCCTATAAACTCACTCGTTCGCTCCGCTCACTCGTTCGTTTATAGGAATTTTTCGCAACTCGTGCATAAAAATCGTACGCGCTCATCAACCATGAAGTAATCTCTATTTATACCACTCAATTATAACTACCTATTTGTTAAAATTTCTGTGAAAATTTCTCAGTCGACAAAACAGACTTCGAGTTTTATGCCCAAGAGAAATATTATTTGAATATGAGTCATTCTAATTTATAACACTTTGTAAGCATGGGTATACATTCAAAATATCATGAGGAGTTTGGGCATCTCACTCGATAGAACTAAATATTGAAGGTTTTTGTGCGGAATGCGTGTAGGCGAAACAATGCTTAGGCGAAACAATGCTTGGGTCATTAAATTTTGTTAACGATCCTGTTTATTCGAAACCTGTTTTTGTGACGACACTTGCCGAAAATGCCGCTTCTTTATTAAGTAAATTGTCTTTGTTTATGTCTTTGAAAATGCAAAATTCTTCTTATAAACATAAATTGCAGCGTTTTCATCCCCCTGTGTACGAAATAGCGTGTTTTAAAATTGACTATTTGATGGGATAATCCTGATAGTTCTAGATAGATAGATCTTTTAATTTCCAAATATGTTTCGAAAGTTCCGTTCTGTTTGAGTCTTTTTTATGACGAAAAGTGTGGTTAGCGTAACGTTCCATAAATGTAGTCGCTGTCATCCAATGTAGTGTTTAGTGTCGTTCGTGTTGTTCGTTGTGACTGCGGCTTTGTAAATAATGTTGTTGGTCATACATTGCTGGGGTAGTGGGCAAGTGTTTTTGTTGTTGCAGTTACAGTTGTCAGTTTCCGTATTCTGTAATTGACTGTTCCTAATTATATGTGCGTTGTGTTTGGTGATTATAGACTTAACGTTGTTCATGAAACTATAGCCTACTTTTAAAGTCATGTTTCTGTTAAAAATCTTGTGTAGTTTGTGCTGTAGTGGAAAGTGTTTGTCAATTAAACTTAATGTGCCTGTAAACCCAAACTGGGTTTTTGATGATTTGGATAGAGCATAAAAAGTTACAATAGAAGTTCTAGATTAGAATTTGATTTAAACTTCTAGTTTCTGAGATACAACGGCTCAAAGTGCCAGATTCTGTCATTTTTGAAAAAAAAGTCGCGCAGTCAAAATTCACTGTAAAAGCCTGGGTCGGAGGAACACGTTCTTCGCCGTTCATTAACTTTTGTATTACAAGTAGACGCAACTTCGAGAGTTTTTGCCTTAAAATGCCTAAACGGTGTGTCGTTTACGGTTGTTCCAACGTTGCTGACACAAACAAGGATATTTCCATCTACCAAATACCTTTTTGGGATGATAATTCGCCCGTAGCGGTCAGGAGAAGGAAAATATGGCTGAGCTTTGTTCGACGCAGACGGGATAAATGGATCCCAACTAGCTCGTCGGTTGTGTGCTCAAAGCATTTCACTGAGGATTGTTTTGTTTACGGTTCCGAAAGTGTGGAAAAGTACAACACTCCGAGACTTAAGAGAGATGAACATGGGATTCGTGTCTTTCCTACAGTAGATACAAATCAACTTTCTGGCAGTGCGGAATCAGAGCGCACGAGTCGCATGAAGCGAAGGAAGGTATTGTAATATAAGCTGAATACTTTATGTTTATTCACCCATAACTAGCATCATTCGCGCGTTTATTTACATATATTTGAATATTTGATTTGTGAATCCAACTTTTTCCTGTTATAAACTTATAACGTATTTGCATAAAGTTTAAACGCTCTTATGAAGTTATGTCGCGTAAACAGAGTCTAAATATTATGGCTTTAATTAATACTGTATGTTGTGGCACACATGGGCCAACGAAATTTATTAGTAATTTTATTATACCCTTTTATTATACCCTGTGGCTGTGACTACTTGATGTTTCAATTTAAAACTAGTCAGGAAAAAAAGTTAAACACAATTCAAGTGAAGTTATTAAGGCAAATAAAAAGGCCCAACAGGGCCAGGTCAAGTACTGTAGTCACTCTGTACAAGTACTGCCGGTCAAGTACTGTAGTCACTCTGTTTATGACTGTATAAGACTAATCTTTTGGTTTTAACTTGATACGACAACAGGAACTTGTTGGAAACTCTGATGAAACACTGACAACATCAACTGCTGATGAGCCAGATGTTGAACCTTGCACATCTACAGAACAAGGAGAAATGGTATGGTTGTTGGTGTGGTCTCATTTTTTTATACAGTATGCAGTCACTTCGACAAACAAAGTTTCAATAGTGCTATGTGCTGTTGTTATGACTATCCACTTTTAGAGCCATAAGCTATTATAGCTTTGGTTTGGTAGTAAATGAGTTTATATGAGAGTAAATAAATATAAAACATTTTCTGTGTTTGAGTTTACCCAATTTGCCACTTGTGTTGATATAACTGTAATATTATATCAATACAGAAAAAAAATGTTATATATGTTTTAGAATATAGCACAAAGAATATAGCACAAAGAATATGCAGGAAATTTTTGTGGGAAATTTTCCGTGTTTGCCATTGAGTTATGTCAACACGCCTCTTAGCCAATCAGCGTTCAGAATTTACAAATGATATATTCTAAACATGTATTCTATTCTTGTGCAAATTCTACAAATTATACATCAGAACATTAACATTTAACCATTAATATGTCTTTACTTCATCCATAGATCACAGAAACTGTTGCAGTTGACGAATGTGACAACTGCAAGCTGCTTAAAAAGGAAAACTTAAGAATCCGCAGTTGGTGGCATACATCCAAGCGGAAACTTGATGCTGTCAGAGAAGAGCTAAGAATTCTCAAGGGGATGACTGTTAAAGATATTATCAAAATCTTTAAAACCCTATTACATTTCTACGTTTCACTTACACTCTTACACTGAAATTGTTTGGACAGGTTCATAAAAGCGTAGCTGTATGCATTTATCCATGCATTTTACTTGGTACATGTAAAAAACTTCCACAAAAAAATTTTAATGCTATAACAGTGAAAATATAATATTTCAATCTTACATGCCAATAGCTTTTCCATATTGTTTCATTGTAAAAGTGAGCTGTAATGTGCTTGTTCGGGTAGTTCTGTCAATGATTGTAGTTTTATATTGGAAATAGCATGGATATTAAATTAATGAATTAAAATCAATAAATTTATTATTGCAATAGGTGAGAGCAGCAGGGAGGATATTCATGGTGGTAATGAGGGCGATGTTGAAAGCGATGTTGAAAGCGATGTTGAAGAAGTTGAGTGTGAGAGTGAAGAATTGTCTGATGATGTCGGTGAGATGGAAACTGAGACGGAAACCTCAGATACTGAAACCGATGAAGACACAAGTGTGCCGCCACAAAGGCAAGGAATAAATTTGCTTTTTTAGTTATATTATATGCTGTTTAATCAATAGCTATTTTCATGGATGGATAGTTTTTCTGGGTGGTGCACACCCCCAAAATATTTTGCACCTCCCCCAAAAAGTTTTCCCGA